AAAGTCAGGAAATCAGTTTTCTGTAGACTGCTTCACACCCCCCACTCCTCTGGTGTTGCTACTTTTCATAATGATTAAGTATGACCATCCCGCTGAGTTCTACACTGAGATTATATATAAATACAGATAATGTGCTGTATTTTTTTCAAGCAAAGTAAAAACATTTAGGAGAGCTGCCTGGTAGGAGACTAAGACAATTAGAAGGCCAGTCAGCCAGGACTCCTTTTGCTATGCCAGGGGACAAAGACTCTTGTCATTTGATGGAGGTATCCAAAGAATTCCAGTAGTTAAGGCCCTTTTGGCAGGGCCACAATTACATTTCAACCTCGAGACTTTTCAATACATACACAGTCCGGTAACTCTCAAAAGAAGTATTTAAATACTGGAATTTAAATGTAAAAGAAATTCCTTAAGAATATATTAATATGACAATATCCCAAGTGTTGCAAATGTCCAAGGGAAGAAATCTCTCTCTCTCTTTCTCTCTCTCTCTCTCTCTCACACACACGCAAGCATGTGTGCATGTGCACGCACCTTAGCTTGGTAAAGTTGAAAAAAAAAAACCACAAATAACCGATAAGGGACTGATCACAAAGATCTACGATGAGCTGATGCGACTCAACAAAAACAAAGTAAACAATCCAGTAAAAAATGGGCAACCGAGGGCCTTCCTGGTGGAGCAAGGGGTTAAGACGCAACCTATGAAGCTATCCACAGCCTCTGCAGCACGAGTTCGACCTCCGGCCAGGGAGCAACTCACATGGTGCAGAAGACCTCTCCTGACTCACCGGCTGCTTCTCTCAGCAGTGTATTTCAGTCAATCTCCCTGTTTTGTTCCCCACCCTGTCTCTGGTGAATCCTCTCAACCCCCAAACCTCTGGCCTATACTCCAGTTCTTGTATGCATAAATAAATAAATCTTTAAAAAAAAAATGGGCCAAAGAGCTAAAAAGACACTTTCCAAAGAGGAAATGCAAATGGCCAACAGGTATAGGAAAAAATGTACATCCCTTACAATCAGGGAAATGCAAATCAAAACCAAAATGAGATACCACCTTACACCAGTGAGAATGGCAAATATCAAAAAACAGGAAACAACAAACATTGGCGAGGAGGTGGAGAAAAAGGAACTCTCCTGCATTGCTGGTGGGAGTGCAAACTGGTCCAACCACTATGGAAGGCTGTGTGGAGGCTCCTCAAACTACTAAAAGTTTAGCTTCCATATAACCCAGTAATTCCACTCCTAGGAATCTACCTAAAGGACACAAAAACATTAATTCAAAAGGATACCTACACCCCTATGTTTAATGCAGCACTTTTTGTAACAGGTAAAATATGGAAACAACCCAAATGCCCAAAAATAGATGACTGGATAAAGAAGATGTGGTACATATACACAATGGGATACTATTCAACAATCAAAGAAGATAAACTCATGCCATTCGCAGCAACATGGATGGAGCTAGAAGGGATTATGCTCAGCGAAATAAGTCAGAAGGAAAAAGAAAAATATCGATGGTTTCACTTACAGGAGGAATATAGGGGAACCAAATAAAGGATCAGGGAAAAAAATAATAACAAATAAATAAATTAAAAATTAACAGGCAACTATAAATCAGAGATATTCTGTCAGGGGGGTGGGGGAGAGGGATCAAAACAGTGGAGGGAAGAGCACAAGGAACTATGGCGATGGTGCACGGGTACGGGTGAACTGGTGGTGGGAATTCTATGGGGCCTATACCTGAGAGGAGAAAGCAAACATTGTACAAAAATGAACAATGATGTAAAATATTTATTTAAAAAATATTATTTAAAAAATCAAATTGAGGAAGCAACTGAAGTAGTTAATGAGAAAGTGATGACGATATCTCTTGGCAAAAAAAATTTTCCCATCACAAAGGACCACCAGATTTAATCTTCAGGTTTAAGGGCCTGTGGTAGAAAATCATCTTAACCACCTTCCACAAAAGCTCAGGTGCTGTACTTAAACCGTAAGGACTGAAAATAACCAACTAAATTATCATCCCTCAATTTCAGAACAACGAAAAGTCCTTAAGAGATCGTCTGGTGCAAGATTTCCCAAAGTGAGTTTCATGAAGCATTACTCTCCTAAAATGTCTGGGACAGCAGCAGTGATTCAAAAAAGTTAGGGAGCACCCTTGGAGAGTCAGAATACACGTGAGGTCATTAACTAATCTGAGAAGGCCTATGGAAAAGAAATAGTTCATTTTTCCCCTTATACCTGTTTTATCCTCCCAATAAATTAATGTCCAAATGGAAATTAACTTTCTTATAAATTATATTCAACATCCAGAAAAGTGCAGATGGTGAATGTTTGTTGAATGGGTTTATGATTAAAATAAATAAAATTGACTTTTATCAAACCAATTTGGGCACAGAACACTTTTCACAGTAAGCATTTACTGCAATTCTGTAAAATTAATGTTTTGTAGAAAACCCATCATTCTTACATATGAAAAAATTGAAGCCCAGAAAGGTTGGGGAACTGCCTCAAGGTCATATGGTTAGTTGGTTAATTGGCTAAAAACAGATCTCACCCTCTAAGACCCCACTTCAGTGCTCTTTCTAACTCTGTGTTTTTCTCTCCTGTAACACCTACTCTCCTTAAACTGTCAGACCACAGGGAAAGCCATATCAGGGAGATGACCTAATACAAAGCCTTTCTGTTAAAGGAACCCAGTGTCTCAGGGACATGAAGCAAACTACCCAAAATGACACACAAAAATCAATTTCTGTAGAACCAGAAACTGGTTCTTAACTGCAACACTAGTATCATTCCCACAACAGCACACCAACTTCTGTTTCAAAACTAGTATTTTCTGCTTCTGAGAAGGAGCCATGGACAAGAGGGGCTTTTGCTATTCAGGACCCAACAAGCTATTTCTTAAACTACACCTATATCAATGGTTATCTTAAGTCAATTAAACATGATTGTCTTTACTTACAAATGTCATCCACTGTGACAGGGAATCAATGTTTCAAGCTGTTGAACAGGTCATCGTCCCTGTCCTGTTGGATGACACCTGTAAATAAAATAAATCTATTTTTGAGTGAATAGATTTTAAGCCAACTAGATTTAAGATGCATGCAGTTTAAAGCCACGGGTAATTTTTTAAATATTTTGAGTTGTGTACTGCTGGAAACAGGTATTTTCCAGGGCCAGCTTTTCACTCTACAAAGCAGTCTATCACTGGCCACCAGCACAAGACAACCCAGGTAATGTAACACAGGAAGCTGTCCAAATACATGCAGAATCAGGGATCCTAGAGCTAAATGGGTCCTCAGTCTCCTGACTCTGTGAAATTATTTTAACTTTGTAAAAGAGACAATCATGGCCCTGTGAAGTTAGATAATTAGTCCAATGTTAAAAAGCTAAGTTTAGTTCAAGTCTCTTGATGTAGAAAAGTATATACAGGACACATTAACAAAGGTTATCACTAGGCTGATTAATTCTGAAGGGCTCATTAGTACAATTGTTAATGTTTCATAAATATTGCCTTAGAATATTCTAGCACAGCTTCATAAAATGTAGTACTGGCATTAGATATTTAAATTCAAGCATTATTGAAATAGCATGAATGGAAAATTACCAAAACTAAGAAAACGACATCAGAGAATGAAAAGAACCAATAGAAAAATATGGTATGTATTTAGGATTTTAAATTCTAGTTACTTCCAAAAGCAATTTGTGGTCACTAACAAATATGAGTATATGAAAAACCATTTTCTACAGTCTGTAATTTAAAATATGGGTTTCTCTGTAGCCACAAAATGCCATTTTAAGTAAGATCTGACAGAGCCTAAAGTCTGGACTTGACAATGAACATTTTGAATTTCCATTCTGTACTTTAGTATCTAAGATAGCTAGAAGTACTTTAGATGCTGCCCTGAGGTGATATGGCTTTATAACAACACTGCCACCAAACTTGTCTTGAGTGTTTACTATATGCCAGCACTATTTGCTTATTTTACACATACTATCTCATTCATTCGATCCTTACAACTTGATCTTTTTTACAATTAAAAAAATAAAAACATCAAAGAAATTAAGTAACTTGCTAAAGTTCACTTAACTGGTGAAATGGTAGAATTTGCACATAAATTTCTTTGGTCACAGAATCAAACTCAAACCATTACACAAAACTACATTTCTTCAATATAAAAACTATAAAGTCTTGAATATGTAAGAATGAACTCACACAACAGGATACCTAAAATCCCCCAACTAAACCCGACACATCTAAAACATCAGGAAATTCTCTTTTTCTTGGGGGTGGCTAGGGACACCTTTCAAAGTAAAATAACCTTAATGTGAAGAAATTTAAATTTCTGATGTTAACTGCAAATACGTTATGATTAAAATATGAAAATGAAAATCTAAAATTGTCTTTCATAATTGAGGAAAAGTAATACTTCCTGATTCAATGACTCCTAAGAATTTATAAGGGAGATAAATCCTTCAGTTATCACAGACAAACTGACTCTCAAAATGATGCAATTGTTAGTGATAGACTGAATTTAATCACGTATACTTTAAAAATAAGGGTATATATCATTTTGCTAAAGCAGTACTTGTCCAGTGAGTATCTTTAAGGAAAACGAAAAAAGTAATTGTGATAAATAATGCAACCCTCTCAATTTCTTATGTAGCACAGCTCCCTCTCCTTGACCATATGTTTCTTCTGACCAAAACACCTTAACTTTTTTACAAAGGTCCATTTCCACCACCCTGCCCCCAATATTGTCTAAAACTGAAACTAATAAAATAGGAAATAATCAGGAGCAAAAATATCATATACTTGACATATTAACTAAACAAAAATTAGACATAGGCAAAGCTCAGCACCACAGAAACTAGACATTATGGGAAAATGCATATCTTTTCAAAGCACTGTGAAAGTCAATCTCTTCTGGCAACAATGGCTTACTTATTAGAACCCCAAACAGAAGAAGATAAAGTGTGGTTTCATGGTAGCTTACCCTTTTCTCTGACACCCCATCCTGGCCTGTCGAATCTCTCTCATCATGTGTCTCTTTCAGGACTGGCATATGTTTTTGGTATGCTGGCTCTCTGTTTAAGGTTGTGTATCCTATGTGCTCATAAATTGGGTTTATCGTCATCTTGGCAATGTATTCTGCTGCCTTGGTTTCAATATAGAGAGTAATCAATCCATCAGTCACCAGATCGTGGATGGACTCAAAGCGCTTCTCCCCAACAAAGTGCTTGCCATCGTAGTAGAGCCTGAAGTTTCTGGTTTGACTTCCAAATCTGCCTCAATGAAATGGGAAAGATGTTTTTAACAAAGTAAGCAAGTGAACTCTTTCTGAAAAAAAGAAACAAAAAACTATTGCTTTGTTTGTGTGTGTCTTCTTTGTTTAAATAAACTGTGGCTAATCTCTGTTGAGTTGTCTGGAATATAGAAAGTTAAACTTTTGAATACAAAGATTGAATTTACAACAACTAGGGAAAACTAGACCAAATCAAACCTACTCTAGAAGGAAAGCTCTATTTTAATTTATCTTTTTTGGCCATTTTGTTATGCCTGTAGGAAAAACATGGAGAAATAAATCTCATATCCTTTATAACACATTCTATATTCAATTGGCAAACTCCATAATAAATGAAATTTCTATGTTAACATGTCCTCTTCAGGTTGATCAATAAAAATACTCACTGTACCTTAGACCCCAGAATTCATGCCCTTTAATGGGAAAGCTCCATTTAGGGATTACCAGAATATAGGCCAGCAATCACTTAAACTAGAGTTGATATTAGACCCCAAGTTACACAGAATGGCAGGATGGCACAGAACACACTTTGCTACTTTCAGGCATGGGGCAAGGACATGCTCTTTCCCCTCACATAGCCATTCTCTGTGTCAGCTTATTGAGTCTGAGCAAGTAATGCTCATACTATATGCATGGCATGTAAGTCATAAACTATCTGACTCTAGAAATTCTGTCCTTCATTTTTGGTCATGTTTTTGTGACACAGATTGGAGAAGAATGGCTTACTTTTATGATGCTTTCAATATTTTGCTTTCTGCAGCAAACCTCAGAAATGGCTCTAAGTTGTCATGACTAGCATTAGCGTCCTTGGAAGAAGACAAAGGCAAAAAAGTGCACTAACTTTAATGAAAGCTGACGCTGAAAGCACTAATGGCTGCCAGTATCAAGGTCTTTGAAGATTTGTTTAAAACTAATCAGAATGGATATATTTAAATTTATTGCTAAAAATACAGAGATGAATTAAAATATCTGCTTAAGTAAAGTGTTTCAATAGAACTATAAACTTATGCAACACTATTACTTTAGTATACAACATTACCTTAGTATACATTATATTCCAGAAGGATAAGACTTGTTAGAAGTACCTTAACATTTCATTTATGTCTTTAAAAAAGGAAACAAATTTTTTTATATAATGGCCTCAGGCAAGTTCTGTTTCAACAGTTCAAATTAAATTGTAATATTTAATCTAGAACCCTTAGTTCTATTCATGCTGGTTCTTCTAAAATTTTTTTTTCCTGTAAAAATAACTGCATTTTGATTTATACTCAAATCTAATGACCCATATCATTCCATTTTCCTAATCTCAAGTTTTCTCTAATGTTAAAGATATATTTCTCCCAAGTAAATTTTCATTGTAAGTCTAAACAATTGGAAGGTAAAATTTCTCCATGAAGTTAAATATAAAAGCCTTTTTCCACTTATTTCCTCTTTACTGACATACATTGTTTGTTGTTGAGAAAAAACATGGAAAGTCACTTTACAACTTTTATAATACTCTTACAACAAAAAACACTCATAGCATTGTTTAACATTAAGGCATTTCAATGAGAGATTAGACCATTTTAGTCCTGCTAAGGTTTATGGTTTTATAATGGGCATTTATACAATGACACATTAAGACTATCCAAGCAATGGTGTCAGTCACCTATCATTCAATTATCTTCTGAGATATGTGAAGTATGGGGAGTACAGGACTTGAAGGAAATATGACTTCATTTGGGTTGGGTGGTTAGCATGAAGGAACGAAAAATCCTAGAAATCTGACTGCAGAATTGAAATTACAGAGAGGGAGGTGGGGAGACGAAAACAGGGAGGGAGCATAATGGACTATGGAGGAGGACTCTGGGTGTCTTGGTGATGGGTGTGGTGTGGTAACATATGTCTCAAGAGGCGTGACCCTATACCACAAGTTATATACAATGTTGTAAACCAAAGGAACCTCCTCAAAAAGAAAAAAGAAAAAAAAAGTGTAAGTCTTTAGCTAGACTTGTGACACATTTACAATGGTGTTATGGTATTATTTCTAATCCACCTAGAGAGAGGATTTCCTGGTTACCTCTAGGTTATTGGGCAAAAGAGAATAAGTCTGTTCTTTTCTCTTTTTCAACTCAGTGACTTCTGGAGACCCTATGTATGAGTCCCATTCCTTCTCAGTTTGCACTAGACTTCCAGTTCAATCCAACATCCAGTCTTAAAGGAGCTTCAGCTAACTAAAATAACCCATGTTATATTATGGGTTGATAAAAACTTAACCTCTGAAATCAAGAAAATGAATTGCATAACCATTTTAGAATAACAATTAAGTTTTGAAAGAAAATCTATAATAATTTTACTAAAGGAAATAATGATTTCTTTGCCTTCTCTGAAGTACCCTCTCTTTTACCTTGGAAGTTACATCAAGAATAATATCACAGTCCAGACCAACAGAGACTTCTTCCCTATCTTGACCTGAAAGTCGTGACAAAAGAAAATCTTTGAACTAGTAGGGAATGCCTCTATTCTGTTGTTAACTGCAGCACCATGGATGCCTCAATTCTACCAAAGAAGAGCCACAAAAGGGGAGATGCCAGTGCTAAGGGCAAAGAAAGAACCCATCCCTATAAAAGTTTACTGTTCACAGGCTGTCACTTATTCAACAAACATTTAGCAAGACACCCAGAAATTTTCATATTAGGTTGTTCATAATAAGGTTCCTGTTTCCTTAGTAACCTGAATGGGAAATAGAGAAACATAAAAACAAGTCAAAAAAGAAGAAAACGAAATGCTGAATTTCTAAAGTTCATCTTTATAGATTGATTTCTAAACAAAAAAATTATAAAAATGTGTATAACCTTGCTCTTTCATGGAAAAGTTACATTTCTGTATACTGATTCATGAAACCAAGTGAATCTAATATGTCCCTCATATTATGAAAACCAAGAAAGTCACTGCTTAGTAAGAACTCAGAGCACACATTCAAGCTTACATAACATCTCAGTGTTTCTGTTCCTGTCCAACTATAAGAGCACCCTTCAGTATTGAAATAGGGGTTGGCTAGGGGTGGGTAAGTGAGAGCTCCATGCATTTATCAAACCCCCTTAGGCTTTGGCATTAGACAGATTACATTTAAATCCTGGATCTGCCACTTCTTAGCTGAGTGATTTGGGGAAAATAATTCTTCAGATTCTGATTCTAGTAAGAATGACATCACCCCTGGGCCTCCCTAGTGGTGCGATGGATTGAGCGCCGTGCTGTGGAGCTGTCCGCAGCCTCTGCAGTGCGGGTTCCATTCCCGGCCAGCCAGGGAGAAACCCACATGGCGTGGCAGACCTCTCCTGCCTTGCCCGCTGCTCCCCTCAGCAGTATCTTTGGTCTTTCTGCCCGTTCTGCTCCCTGCTCTGTCTCTGGTGAATTCTCTCACCCTCCCATGCCTCTGGCTGTACCCCAGTTCTTGTATAAATAAATAAATCTTAAAAAAAAAAAATCGTAAGTGCAAAAAATTAAAAAAAAAAAAAAAAGAATGACATCACCCTACCCACACAGTCCTGAGGATTATATAAGAACATTTAAGTTAAACTAAGTAGCTTAGCATTTAGGTTAAACTACAAAGAATGGTAGTTCCCTTTTTCCTTCTCTGCCTGCAGAGACTGATAGATGAGTTATCAAACAAAGTAAAAATGAAAAGATAGTAAATATGCACACAAAGGGGGATGAATGAATAACCGATAACTCCTGTCTGGGAACATCTGGCTGTCCCTACACTTACACTACTTGTTGGAAAAGAGCGAGACGACAACAGGGACAAAGAAAGGAGGAAAGGAGCCAGGGGAGTCTTTCCATTGTGCCCTTAGAGTTGGGTCTCTGGATTCAAAGAAGAAAAGTCAGCAAATATACTCAGAATGAAAGCAGGGAATATTAAGTGAAGTTAAATGACAACTATTGAACTCTAAACTTCAGAGAACCGATTTATAAAAACTGTTAAAATGAAACTGTTTTCCTTCCATTTTTATAGGAAATTTTTCTTTTCGTCTTTTCTATATTCGTTATCTGCCCCCGCCCATACTTCTTAATACCTGCTCTTTCTTTGGTGAACACATTTGAAACTGTATAGGCACAGTTCTCACCTAATAGAATTGAATAAGATGGTAATTAATTTTCTTCAATATGGGACTGTAGTTAACAAACAGAAAGACTAGAGTTATCTGCTTTGAACTGCTACTTTTGTACATAAATACTACTTTCTAGAAATGTCTTTTCTTTCAGTGATTCCAGGTTTGGGTTTACATATTTTAAAAAGCTGTTTAATGTTGTGCCCAGTTGTATTAAAATGACTTTCAAAATATGTAATTCTAACATCTAGATTTAAAAAGTGAACAAGCACCTCCCTGGGGGCGCAAGGGGTTAAGACGCAACCTTTGAAGCTATCTGCAGCCACTGCAGCAAGAGTTCGATCCCCAGCCAGCCAGGGAGCTCCCTACATGGTGCAGCAGACCTCTCCTGTCTCGCCCGCTGCTCCCCTCAGCAGTGTATTTCGATCAATCTGCCTGTTCTGTTCCCCACTCTGTGTCTGGTGAATCCTCTCACCCCCTACACCTCTGGCCTTTACCCCAGTTCTTGTATGCATAAATAAATCTTTAAAAATAAATAAAAAATAAAAACTGAACAAAACCCTTAATATTACCCCATTTTTTTAGCAAGTAAATTATTTTTAAAAAATCAGTCTAGAGGTACAAAGTAAGGAATATCTATAGGTATGTACACACACAAGAACTTTTGGGATGTTACTTTATTTTTTCTAAAACTAAGAATTAGTTTGAAGCTAAAGTATTTGGGAGTATCCCTTCAAGCCCCAAGTTAACAGATGTTTTCTATTAGCAAACAGAAAACAAAACATATACAACACATTTTCTAAGTCAACAACAAAATATCAGAACTATTTCCAGAAACCAACACACAAAAACTACTTTATTCTTCATAAATACATATTTATGTATTGCT